TGGTTTTGTTTCAATCCACCTCCGCTAAAGCCAGAGTCGGGTGTGGATTTACTTGGCTGGTCTTGCAGAAAAAAGTTTCCATTAGTTTTTCTCGTATTTTCTCGTCTACGAAGGCATAAATCAGTGGATTGTAGCAGAAAGAGGACTTGGCAATGTATGCTGGGATTGAGGCAGCCAATCCGGTGATCAGACTTGGTTTTGCATTTGCCAAAATCGCGTAGATAAGATACGGTGTCCAGGCGACTAGATATCCCGTTGTCATGGAAACGGTTACCGTTGCCATTTTGCGTTCTTTGGCAAGTGTGTCTTGAATATCATGCATGTTGTTATTGTTCCAGTTATTCTGTTGTGCGTGTTGGTAAAATGCTTTATATGATTTGTAGTAACAGGTGACCGTCATCGCAATAGGTATTATATAGCACATGAATAGCAAGCAGAAATCATATGAAACGTGAGTTGGTTCCTGCGACCTCCAGTCAATGGCGCAGCACGTTTCGATACCTTCGGGTATGTAGTTCGACCATCCAGTAATAGGCATGAGGCTCCAGAAAAATGAGTAACACCACAGTAGAATAGAGAAAACTGTGGCTTTTTTCTTGCTGAATTGCGCGGCTCCGTTATTACCGTCGAGAAGCCTGCAGAACGTGGTATACCGCTCATATGAAACAGCGGTGAGGTGCATCATGGAACTTAATCCAAAGAATGTTACGGTAAAACCATACCCGTTACATGCTGCATCTCCGAACGGCCATTCACCACGTGAATTGGAGAGGACCAGGAGTGGAGTTGCCACTACTGACTGGATAAAGCCGCCAAGCGACATGTTCATTATAAAGATATTGGGAGCATCTAAGAGTTGAGGATTCTTGAAGAACATGAGACAGAGTAAAAGGTTGAAGATCACACCGCAGCTCCCAATGACAGCGGAAATAACAGTAAAAATTGTCGATGCATGGGTCATTTTACTAGTTCCTAAAAAGAAAAAGAGGTTTCTAAGAGGCAATTGACACTTGGTATATAACAATCACATAACGTATCGTCATTTTGATTCTACAGTATGCATAGATGCCAACTCTCCTGGACTATCCGGGAGTCTCCCGAATACGTCACCGATCTCCCGCTATCTACGCTCTTCCGTAGGGGTCACCATGGATAAAATCATCGTTTGAGCTTTTCTGTTTTTAGGCTTGAATTTAGCTCATGTGTTCTTAAAAATTGATTTCTTTTTATTCGTAGTACGGTTTCTGGGGCATTTTTGAAAATCTTTATTAGTCACTGTCAGAGATTATTTCGTCATTACAATGCTGAACGCGAATTTTGATGTTAAGTACTCATGTAAGATCTCGTATAATGTCCTAAGCCATTCCCATTCAGTACTTTCACATAGACCATAATGCACCTTGTTTACCCCCCCCCCCCCCCCCCCCCCAACAAAGGCTCCGGGAAAAAAAAACAGAGAATTTCAAGGGGCTGAATTTGGGAGAGGGGGGGGGGGGGGGGGGGGTTCATGTGTGGTTACGCTTAAAATTTGTGATTTTTTGCTGGTTTGGGGAAACAAT